CATGTCCTCACCTCAAAACAACCAACAGTCAGTAAGCAATTAACTCTCCTTGCCACAGCATGTAAATCAAAAACAACATCAAAATCAGATTAAATTTTAAGTCATCTGATGAAATTTAAAACCACTTAATCACAACTCCAATAGTCCAGTGGCCTAAACTGCCCTGTTGAGTCTCCCATTACTTCAAGAATTTTTGGGGGTTTTTTTGTTTTTGGTTTTTTTTTTTTCCCCAGAAGGCCCCCAGAGTTTAAGAAACATATCCATTGGCAACTTGGACAGAAAATAAAAACTTGGAATTAAAATTCATGTAGATAGGTGCAAGGTTCATTTCTAAAACACAACTAACCAATTTAGATACCACTGGCTTCAGTATCTAACACTTTTTTCCACTTTTTTTAATGTGAAAGAAAAAAAGCCACCAGTCTCTAAAGTGACTGATGAAATTTCAACCCACAGGATATTTTCATACTTGAGTTATAATAAACCATTGAAATAAGGATGAATAGTGGAAAGCCTGACAGCCCACTGGAAAGAGCATTTTAAGTGCATCATTAGCATATAGAGTAAGTCAAAATTCTTTAACCTGGGCCAAAGCCAAAAAAGCCATATCAATACAAATTCTCCACTTCTCAGAATGACCTACTCTATGGAACAAGGGGGGAAAAACTGAATTGTTTGCATGGTATTAATTATTCACTTTTGTAATTTGCAAGGTAATATGTGTATATATATATTCATTAGATTCAGCAAAGACTCATACTCCTCCTGTCATCCAAAAGGTTTTCGTGCTTGGGACAATCTGGAGCTTCTGGCATATAATCAGTAAAACCTACCAAAATAATAGCACTTGAAAATGGTACACAATTTCCGAAACACTAAAAGGTTTAAATGAGCATTTGTGATATTCTGTGTGATGGTACAAATACCTAAACAACATTTGTACTTTTCAGCATTCTACAGGGCAACAGACCATTATACCCCAGAATACTTTTCACCGTTTTTTTTTTTAATACTTGAAAGATCCAATGAGTGAGTTACTCCTGCTACAGAGGTATCAAAATCTCTCAAATCAGACATCTTTACAACTAATAGAAAAATTCATCATTAAAGAGCCAAGCTCGTAAGGAGCCTCTCTAAACCCAGCTATGCTGTTATTGTCAGGACAAACATTTGGTGGTGGGGGTCTCTACCTGAAGCCTTTCAGCTTTGTAGGAAATGTCACAGTCCATGCTCCTATGGCACAGCTTTTGAGAAAGCAGAAGCACCTCCACTGCATAAGGTATTGAGAGAAGGCCTCCAGTGAAGATATGTTTCAAAGATAAGAGATACGTAATTCCAATTACATGTCTCTGTACTTTAGTTCAATAAGAAGGATCATAGAAGCCTCTTTTTAATGGACTGTTTTGTTGAGCCCAAAACATAAAGTTATGAGAAATTAGTGATCTCAAAAGGAAAAGGTAGATATCTGGCTAATAGTTTCATATGGTCAAAAGAATGGTATTCAAGAGGTTAAGTGTCATGGGTTCCAATGATAACTAGTAATAATAGCTGGCTTTTATATAGCTCTTTAAGGCCTATGAAGTTCTTTACATAGATTATCTCACTTGTTCAGTGGCTACTACTGGTATTCTTAACCCCATTTTACAGATAGGCTCAAATGGGGTTAAATAACTTGTCCACAATGACACAACTAGCAAGTGTAGCAGGCAGAATTCAAACCTAGGTGTTCTTCACTCCAAGTCCCACATACTATATACCATGTTGCCTTTCTAGCTCAAGCCCCAAACTGGGCAATTAACTTTGCTCTTCCACTGACACAGTTTGGACCTCTAGCACAGGTGATTCATTTCCTAAAAGATCTCCTTTAGTCAGTGGTATGCTGGTAAATGTTTAACAACCAGTTCTCTTGTGGGGGAAAAATGTACTCACAACACACTTCTAAATTTAATCTGCAATACTAACATTTTCTCTATCACTTTAAGTCTAAAACAATCAATCAAGCCCTGATTTGTATCATTTGCCAATTTCCAAGGTGTAAATGTTCTTACATTGAGTCCAAGCTTGCTCCAGCACATCCCTGCCTTTAATCCAGCAGAATACTGAAACATATGTGTTGCCTAGGTATTATGTCCCTCAGTTACAAAGGTGCCTGGTGAAGACTATGAGACTGTGTCAACACTGAACCATTCTCATTCCAAAAAGAAAGCCAATTCTTGGAGCACCAATCTTCTTGATGATAAGTCAGTAGTGCCATCTTTCTATACTTTATAAGTATTTTAAAACAGCACATATTACTTGGAAAAATACTATTACAAAATTATACAATAGCTGTCAAGAATTCCTATACTAGGAGGCATATCGGTTTTTCATAATTTAAAATAGCAGCAAATTCTATATAAACACCTGACTTAACAAAAAGACTATATAAATTAACATCCTACTGAATTTTAATTATGAAGAATGGAAGACTCATCAGCTACAAAAAACCAAGGTGACTTCTACTTCTAACTTAACCCTCATCAAAGGATTAGTCTCTGATAACAGTCCAAAACAGTCCAAAAGAAAAAATTAATTAAAAGTCAAAAAGCCTGTCTGAGCAATGATGGAGTATAATGGAAATATATAAGAGAACTTGTCACATTTCACTATCCTGACTGCTTATTTATTTTATCCAGACTAAACAAAACACTCTATATTCACATAAATTATGGTTCAAACCCCTCCTCCAGATTTCTGTCATTCCTTTGCCATGTTTCTTCACAGTATCTAATACAGTACTTTATGACTAGAGGCACAATACTATTATAGCTACAAAAACCTTTGTGACTTGATTTGGGGGTAGGATCCCCTTCATCAGGAAGATATTATACATAGATGTAGATTAAAAAAAAATATGGTGCCCAAGTCCTATAACAGAAGCATATAGTTAAATGGATAAATGTTTCAATCAAAATAGCAAGAAGTTTGGCCACAGATTCTTAAAGTCTTCCAAAAACACAGTTCATATTTCCAGATGAATACAATGTTAGTGTCAAAATAGGAATTTTTAAATAGTTGAGGCTAGCACCTCACTCCAAAATCCAAATGAAGGCACTACATCCTCATTTATTTTCTCTTTAATACAGTAAGATACCAACAGAAGCCTTTACATCTATTTTTTATTTTCACATAAGTTAGCGCTTCCCCTCTCCAAAACAAAACCAGATTTAAGATTAGCTATGTACACATCTAAATAAATAAAATTTTAAAAAATCAGCATATGCTCTATGTGCCTTAAAAGTCTTGTGTGCCAAACACATTAAAAAAAAATAACGAGCTGTTGTCCAATTGTGGAAACAAAAAAAGTAATATGGGGTTTTCTGCTCTCTGAAGTGCATCACCAAGTGTGGGTGGAGAGAAAGAGAATCTAGAATTAGAAAAACACCAAATCATTCTAGAAATAATTGACAAGGTGTAAATTCTTCATATACAAAGTATTTAGACCAGACTTTGATTATTGGACTAAGATGCCACTTAAATCCTTGCACGGGATAAGGAATCACCCTAACTCTGAAACCTTGAGGTCAGATTTTTTCCAAATGAATAAGTATTCATTATAATCTGAAGCAATTAGGCACTGAGTGATGCTCCCTGTGTGACTGAGCTTATGACCGCTGGTACAAAGCTTGCAGTTCTGAGTGATTAAAACCAAAGGCTAAACACCAAATTTGAAAAAGGTTGACTACTGGCACCAGGCTAACAGTGTCATTTTATAAAATAATAACGATAGTCACCCAGACACATTAGCTAGGATCATGGGATCATAGTGGAAAAGAATGGGAATGGAAAAAAAAAAGCCGACATAATATTTGTCACCACATCTCATTTCCTACACAGGATATAGGCAAAGACTCCAGTCCCATTATCCTAGGCACAGATGTTTATCATTTACTGCAAAGGTGCTGAGAGGCCTTCGGGTCCAAGCTCCTTAACACTAGGAACAGCTTACGAATAGAGTTCGGAGGTGGGGAGGAGGTCGAGACTGGAGAATTCATCCACCCCCACCCCCCACTGAGGCACAGACCCCAATGCTCTTACCTGGGGCACATTTATCCCGCAGCTCCAGTTCCCTGACACACACCCCACCCCAAATGGTCCCGTCCCCCTTTCCCCATCCCCCCCACCCCGCCCAAAGCCTTAGGGTGGGGGCTGGTGGGGGTAATCTGAAGAAGGGGATGAGTAAAAGGTAAGTTTCCCGAGCACCAGGTGACTAGACACAACGCTCTCCTCACAGCCACCTCCAGGGTGAACAGTTCGGACCAGTCGTCGACCCATTTCCCCACCCCATACCCGCCCCCCCCCTCAGCTTTACCTCACTACTCCCCCTCCTCACTCCACCCAACTCACAGCTGCTCCTGAGGCTCCTCCAGCCCAGCCAGCCAAACCCTTTCTGGAAACGACGGCAGCCCGGAGGGTCCAAACCACCTACCATCTCCGCTCGCGTTCCAGTTCCCCACACCACCGCCGCCGCCGCCTCCTCCTCTTCCAACACCGCAGCCGCCTCCTCCTCATCTGCAACACCACCAGCGGCGGTCGCCCGGAGGCCCCGCCTCCTCCATCTCCTCCTGCATCATCACTTCCGGTAACCCCGCGGCTCTGGGAGGGAGGGCCAAGGGAGCAAGAGGGCGGACTGCGGAGTGACGCACGCAGAAACGTGCGAAGCCGTCGCCAAGTAAGGGCAACGGCCCGACCTTCTCACCTCCTCTACCCCGCGGGGGAGCGGGTAGAGAGGAAATCGCCTAGGCGGAACTGGGCCGAACCACAGCGTGGTTAGGTGGGAGCAAACAGGAGACGGGTAGTGGGATAAAGAAAAGAGAAGGGAGGTGAAGAGATTGACCGTATTTTTAGCGGATACGCCGAAAGGTAAATTTCGGGGCGGGTTGAGGTCTGAGACTCAAGCTTCCTCTTTCTATTAATGATGCTCCCCACCTATGTTTCCTCAGGTGGTTCGGTCCGACCTGGCGTACAGGGCCAGACCCCTCTCTGTCCTCATCGGTTCCACAGGACTCCCGACACTCCCTTCTCTCCTCCGCACTGTTGGGGGGGGGGCAGGCGTGATGGACACAGTGTGAGCCTAAGAGATGAAGGTGGTCTACTCTGGGCGATGGAGAGCGCGGTTGGCTCGCTAGGGTTGGAGGCAGGGAGTGGGGAGGAAGCCGTGGCTTGGTGCGGCGTTGCTAGGATACGTGGTGGTGTGTCCTGCCCCTCCCCCTAAATCCCTAGTGGCCCGTGGGCTCGGGCTCCCCTCGTATGAGTCACGGCCGCCATTTCCCCGGGGCCATTTACCTGCGTTGATTTAATCCAACCGAACACCCCTTGTGAGGGTGGGGGTGGGGAGGCGGAGGTATCTCACCCTGGCGTCGGACCTCCAATTTTCTTCCTCATTCTTCGCCTCGTAGGTGCGGGACATTGGGTATTAGAGACACTTGAGAGAAGTGACGTGAGCGGCTGCCCTCCGGGAGCTTCCACTCCACGGAGGGATTGTGGCTTTGTACTGTATATATTCTCTTGATGAATAATATATTACTAGGCGGGGAGTGATGGGGGAGGGGTTAACCAAGCACTAGAAGTTAATGGGACACTGGAGGAATAACTTTATACTGAGAAGCCTCAGGAATGGTTTGGGGAGCGAGTCGCACCTGGCCGGGCCTTGTAGGGAGAGAAGGAATTCAACTGGGTGGAGACTGGGAATGCATCCCAATTGTGTGTAATTGGGAAAGCACAGTTTCAGTTCTGCCCTCCAGGAGGTTACAGGCCACTGCGGGATGCAGAGGTCAGCAGGATACACACAGTATATTACAACATTGGGAATGATGTTGAGTGCCTTCAATCGTGTCCGACTTTTCGTGACCCATTTGGGGTTTTCTTGGCAAAGATACAGGAGTTATTTGCCATTTCTTTCTCCAGCTCATTTTATAGATGAAGAAACTGAGGTAAACAGGGTCAAGTGACTCGCCCAGGTCACACAGCTAGGAAGTGACTGAGATTGAATTTGCACTCGGGTCTTCCAGAGTCCCGATGCAGCAGCTTAGTTTCTCTTGGGAGTGATGGAGAGTGGAGAATGAAAGAAGCAAAATGCTTCTTTCAGAATTTTAGGGAAGGCCACACCTAAGTTGAGCCTTGTAGGGAGAGGGAATTCTACTGATTGGAGAATAAGAGTGCATCCCACTTGTGTGGAATTTGGAAAGTACAGTCTCAGTTCTGCCCTCCAGGAGTTTACAGGCTGTTGGAGATGGGAAGTGGGGAAGGTAGCAAAATATACAGGTATGTTACAAGGTTGGAAATAATGGGGGGGGGGGGTCCGGGAATGAAAGATTCAGACAAAGTGTTTTAGGCAAGGTGAGGGTTTGTGAAGGTCACACCAGAGTTGAGCCTTGAAGGGAAGGAAAGAAGGAATTCAACTGGCGGGAGAATCACAATTGTGTAGAATTTGGAAAGTACAACCTGTCTCCAAAGGCAAGTAGACAGGCATTTATCAAGCACCTTCACTGTGCTAAGTGCTGAGAATACAAAGGAAAATAATAAAACAGCCCCAGTTCTGGAAGCTCAGGGTCTCATCAGGGAGACAAGGAACAAACAAGATATATACAGTATAAACTGCAGATGGTCTACAGAGGGAAGACATTAGTATTAAAGAGGATAAGAAAAGGCTTCTTATAAGAAGTTGGGATTTTAGCTGGTACTTTAAAGAAGCCAGGGAAACCAGGAAAGGAGACAGGAGGGGAAAGCATTCCAGGCTGGGGGGGACAGCCAATGAAAATGCACGAAATCAGGAGATGGAGTGTCTTGTGTCCAAGAAAGTGTAAGAAGGCCAATGTCACTAGATCACAGAGTGTATGGGACTTGTACATTAGGAAGATAGATTTTGATGAGATTCAGTTGGAAGGGGGAGAATGGGAAAGGGAGGAAGATTGCAGATTGGAAGAACAATAGAAGGCTGTTATAATAGTCTAATTGAAAAATGAGCACCCCTAAACTAGAATCCTAAAATCTTAGTACTGTGGAGATCATCCAGGCCAGGATGATCTTAACCTTTTTTGTTTCTTGTACCCCTTTTGGCCATCTGGTGAAACTTACAGAACGCTTTTCAAATATTTTTAAATGCATACAGTAAGAGATATAAGAATACAAAGGAAACCAGTTATGTTGAAGTATAATTATTACATTAAAAAAAAAGTTCCTGGACCCCAGATTAAACCCTTGTAGGGTGATCCCTTCATAAGGAAAATTAGACTATGAGAGGGCTTGTGACTTGCATCACACAGATAATGAAAGAATCAGAATTTGAACCCAGATCTTTTGGGGGGGGGGGGAATTGGGATTAAGTGACTTGCCCAGGGTCACACAGCTAGTAAGTGTCAGGTGTTTGGTCTGAGGCCGGATTTGAACTCAGGTCCATCCTAACTTCAGGGCCGGTCCTCTCTCCACTGTGCTACCTAGCTGCCCCCTAACCCAGATCTTTTGACTGCAGATCTATAAACAGGATGAAGAAGATGGCATAGATGTGAGGAATGTGGAGGTAAGATTGGACAATGTTTGGCAACTGATTGGGAATAGAAGATGAGGGAGAAGGGAAGAATTTTAGGTGACTTACATCTTCAAAAGTTTCATTCTTCCAAGGTAACTGGAAAAATGGTACCATACCAACAGAAATAAGAAAGTTCAGAGCAGGAACAGTTTTGGGGAGAAAAGATGAGTTCAGAGTTCAGTTTTGAGCACATAAAGCTTGAGGGGCCATGGTGCAGCACATCCAAAGAGAGATATCCAGAAGGCATTTGTAAAATATGAGGGCAGGTCAGGAGAGTGATTGGACTGAATATTTTAGATGGTCTTGACTGGAAACTTTAATTTGGTTCTCTTCCATCCCCTACAGTCACAATTCTAGACTCCCCAGGAGCTGAAGCCAGTGTATACACTGAGGGAGATTCCAAGACTTCATCCTATGGGCCTAGTCTAGGAATGGCCACAGCACTGTTTATTCCTAGAGGTAGAATACTTTAGTTCATCTGTCAACTAGAAATCAAGAGGCCAGTGCTGTTTTACTGGTGTTGCTAGTTAGTGATTTAATTTTTGATCCTATTCGTTCTCTATAGATTGAGAGTTGTGATAGCAGGTCCTGCTTTTTCTATTTGTCGGTGATATGATGAATCTAATGGAATAATAGACAAAGCTATCTATACTCATTGCTTGCTTCCTCACTGTTCATTCCTTAACTCCTTGGTAAGCTAAGGTTTCTAACCCCACTTTTGCATAGGATAAAGTGCTGTCCCTTTACAATGACAATTTTTTGAATTCTTACGTCCCTTCAAGCTTCAATCTGAGAGGCCCCTCATCTCCTCCGCTTCTTAATTTTTTCCCCAATTATAATTGCTCTTCCTTTCACTGCCTCATACTTTGTATTTATTTAGAATTTATTTTGTATTAACTTTGTGTGTTTGTGTTATTTCCACTCCATAGAATGCTCCTTGAAGTCAGGAAGTTGTTTTCCTTGCATCCCCACCATTGGGCTGTGCCTTGCACATAGTAGGCACTTAAATGTTTGTTTAGGGTGAACATGGCACTTGGAAACTTTGGCCCCTAGGGGGAGGAGGCAGCAGAATCCTCTCATTGAACAATTAAATTCAGCCTCATAGCCCATGAGAACATTGTTGTCCTGTTGGTACCACCTGTGACAATACTGTGAGAGTCCAGGAAAGACAGTTTGGTGCTTCCTGTCGGTCAGTAGCAAGGCTCATCAGGTGGTGATTTATGGTCAGTCTGTATGTGTCTTTATCATCATGTGGCAGACAGAACTCACTTAAAATGCATTTAGTGAATCAAACATGTTTGGAATTTATAAGCTAATTTTAAGGAATCTATTTGAAATGGCAGAAACTATGTAATCCCTCAGCTGTATTAGAAAGTTGAGTTGACTGCTAAAAAAAAGTCCTAACTCTAGTATCTAGTAACTTTGTTAGACAAATCATTGCAAATGAATTATATTAGTGTTTGTACTTCCTATCTATATTTCCTAGATTTCATAGAAAGCCTTTCTTATGTGACCAGTATTAATTATATGCTGTAAATCACAGTACATTTCTTTAGTTCTGAAGTGAATGGGTTTGATCTTTAACTTTGACCTAGCTTTCATCTGTTGATGGCTAATTCCGTATTCTATTCAGGATAACTTTTCACACCTGACTGCTGCTTTTTCTTTCCTGTAATGTTCCATTATGGAAAATAACAACTCCATTTATTTTGAATCTGGGACCTAGGTGCTGTTTTAATTTCAGTTTCTCTCTCTGGGAAGATCAGCTACTGTCATGGTTACAGTAGCCTGATTGGAGAACTCCCCAGTATATGCATAGTCCTTTGCGTGTAGTAGAGAAATCCATAACAGTGAAACTGGTCCATTTATTTGCTATGGTTGAGATGTATCTTTTGAGAAAATTCCTAGGTAATAATAGTCCCATTCCTATTTCATGTTTGAGAACTGTTATAAAGGACCTGTGTTTTTTTTTTTTAATTTGAAGTAGAAAAGCAAACAAGATGTGTTTACAAGATGTTTTTTTTTCTTTTTTTTACATTAGGTTCCCAACATTTACTCCTTCCAGTTGCCTTTTGCATAGCCAGACATACTCTTACATAAAATAATCGTGGCATAAACAAGGATATCATACTTTTCCCCATTATTTGTACAGCAAATATACAACATGAAATTTCCCTTTTTAGTTTATGATAACCAAGATCTGTCTGCTGCAGTAAATAGAAAGTCCAGTCCCAAAGGTAGGAGAAAGGGGAAGTATAGGTGGCATAGATTAATAAAACTCACTGCTTTTTCTATGCACATATTTGTGAGTGTGTGTGTGCTCATGCTTAAGGACTGAAATTAATATGATCTCTCTGTTCACCAGAAAGAAGGGAGCAGCATACATTTGGAAAAAAGGAATACACAGAGATGAATGGGAGGAAGAGATAAAGAAGAATAGGAATGGAAGCATGGTGATACATTTGGTGTTGGCAAACTATAATATTTCCAGTAAGAATGGGGAACTGTTGTATGTAGATAAGCTCGGTGTCTAGCTGAGAGTTACTCACCCTGAAGAAC